GAGGGATTTTTTGTACCAACAGGGTCTTGGGGGGGATACCGAGCGAGCCAGTGCGAAAGTCAGTGACATTAGTGTTTTGTTCTATAGACATTATCTCCGTGGATTAGTCATGAAACAAATGACAATGGAGGATTTTTTCGCGGTGGAGCAACATGACTGATTCCTGTATTGAGATTAGTGATTTTTTTTTCAGGACATCATTTCATTTCACTAGCGGACATTATTAGTGCGTAAGATATAATTTGTTGTTCATTCTTTGTTTAATTTGGATTTAAAGAAAATATTGCATTGCGATGTAGTGCTAAGATATGTAATGTATATTGTGCTTGCATTCTTACATGTGTGTTACGTATGTATGTTGTTCCGTCCTTTTCGAAATCAGTAAAAAACACATACCGGAAGTGAACTGAACTCTCATCTCCGATACAACCATGCTGCACTGTGTATGAATGATTCTATGAAAGTGGTATGTTGCATTGTTATTGGTTGTTATTTGATGTCTTTTTTCTTTATAATAAACATGTTAAAATTCATATGAATTCTTTTCCTTTCTCCGATGTTTGATAGATTATGCGAGCGATCAACACGAGATATTGATTGATAAGGGACTCTGCATATATGACAAACGGACACAATACACATCAGGTGTATTTTTTGTGGTTGGACGGTCACCATTCATGAGTCAAAGTCCCGATGTGTCAAAGTTTTCTCGACGGTCCCTTGAACTTCGACACATCAAAGTTTTACTGTAATGTGTTTAACAACCCTAATCTTGACGTTTACCTGAAGCTGTGAAAGTCATTTAATTATCTTTAACATTTTATTTACTTTCAACTAGCAGGGACACCACCAACATGCCTAGAAAGAGATTTAGGGGAAGGAAAAGGGAAACAAGTTCCATCTTTCATAAAATAAAAACATCAGAAAAGGACGCTGACCCTACACTTCAACAGGAGACTGACATAGAGGAGACTACAACAGAAAAGGACGTTAACCCTGCACTTCAACAGGAGACTGACACAGAGGAGACTACAACAGAAAAGGACGTTAACCCTGCACTTCAACAGGAGACTGACATAGAGGGGACTGCAACAGAACTGGACGTCACATCTCAACAGGACACTGAAGACAACATATACACAGACCGAGATACCATAGTAGTTAACAGGATGGAGAAAGAAAGGGACGAAGACAGTGACAACCAAGTAATACCAAGTGACAAAAATCAGACAACAAAAGAGATGGACGCCACACTTCCACAGGAGACTGAAGACACAGAAAAGGATACTATGGAAGTTCAAATTCAGGATACAGAAAATGACGAAGACTACGACAAAGTATTATTACATAGAAGTGACATTTCATCGGATGATAACGACGATGACAAGGACCCATCATATTCTTACCAAGACTCTTCGGGCACCGAGGAATCCTCATCAGAAGAGGAAGTCAAAGGAGTTAAGAGGAGAAAAACGTCAACCAGCTGCTCCTCATCTAAATATCAAAGAACAAAGAGCTCACCAAGAACTGCGCTTACACACGTGCCTAGAACCAAATCTCGCATCCAGACTTCCAAAAACCCGAGGCCAAGGAAAACATGCGATCAATGTGGATATATGGTTGTCAACTTGGCCCGCCATTTCAGGCACGTTCACGACAAGTCCACACAATTTGCGGCCATCAAAGCAGCAGCGGAAAACCGGGCGGACACATCCACGAATCCTACATGATTTCGAAATTGCCCTGTCCTAGGATGCCCGGCAAAAATTGTACATATCGACCGGCACTTATACCGTGTGCACAATTTTTCAAAGCTACTAATTCACAAGTTCATGATTAATAGCAAGAAAGTTGGTGACAAAACCCGAGACCCCCAGTCTGTACCATCCACATCCGACTCCCAGCCCAACACGTCCAAATCCATAGAAGAACGATCAAGTGACACACCAATTTCAGCTTCCGAAAGCGACAATGACATTCTGATTGATCTGCAACCATGGTTGGGTAAATTCGAGAAATATCTAATGTCAGCGGAAAGACTTAAACGGGAAAAGGTCACAGGCCAAATCATATCCCAATTGCGGAGCATTATCACTGCCGTAAAGGCAGAGACAGTTAATGAATTTCTAAACCACGACACTCTATTACATGCCTGGTTGGAGCCGTTTCGATCACAAAGATTGCCAGGTACCACAAAAAGCTATTTGTGCGCATTGCGTGAGTTTCTCAACTTTTTCATGATAAAGGGAATACTGCCAACAAGAGCCACACAAATCAAGGTTGCCGCTGACAGATGGCTCAGTGCCATGGGGAAACCATCACGAAGACGTGCTGTGGAGCGCCAGATCACCGACCTTGAAGACGCCGTCACCGTAGATGACATAAAAACATTTCGGCAATCAATCACTGTGCTGAAAATCAAAGAAATGTTCGGCGAGATCGGTGAACAACTAAAAGACGGAACAGAAGTTACCAATCTTCAAAAAGAAACCCACAGCATGCTACGTAATAACCTGATTTTAGAAATATTACTGAATAATGGCTGGGGCTGTGATGAAAACAAACAGCCAATCACTACCCTTGATTTTATAGGATGTACTTATCATTTACTCACATTTGTCTTCCTATCATTAACTTAACTTCAAAAGGCAATGATCATATAGGTTTGAATCCTGCAGCGGTGGATTACACAGACAACAGTGAAGAATAAATCCATATAGATCTCATTATTTCTAAACTTCTTACTTATATATTGGAAAAAACATCATATTGCCCAGGTTGAACAATACAGATATTACAGCCATCCTACTTCTGAGCAAGGTGAATGGGGATTATAGAAATACAGATCCAAAACAAATACCTTAACAACAAATGGAAAACTTCATGGTTGGAGAGCATGGGGTGTGCAACCCTACAAATCATATATATGAGATATCAATGGGTATGCAATCCATAGAAAATCACACATAATTATGGAAGGTATACAACCCTCAGTAACAATCACATATATAGAGGTACTTGTGGGGATTATTGAGTGTTCAATATCACCCTCAGTAATTATCACATATACGGAGGTACTTGTGGGGAGTATAGATTGTTCAATATCACCCTCAGTAACAATCACATATATAGAGGCACTTGTGGGGAGTATAGGGTGTTCAATATCACCCTCAGTAACAATCACATATATAGAGGTACTTGTGGGGATTATTGAGTGTTCAATATCACCCTTAGTAACAATCACATTTCTAGAGGTACTTGTGGGGAGTATAGAGTGTTCAATATCACCCTTAGTAACAATCACATTTCTAGAGGTACTTGTGGGGAGTATAGAGTGTTCAATATCACCCTTAGTAACAATCACATTTCTAGAGGTACTTGTGGGGATTATTGAGTGTTCAATATCACCCTTAGTAACAATCACATTTCTAGAGGTACTTGTGGGGAGTATAGAGTGTTCAATACAACCCTTAGTAACAATCACATATATGGAGGTACTTGTGGGGAGTATAGATTGTTCAATATCACCCTCAGTAACTATCACATATATGGAGGTAGTTGTGGGGAGTATAGAGTGTTCAATATCACCCTCAGTAACAATCACATATATAGAGGTACTTGTGGGGATTATTGAGTGTTCAATATCACCCTCAGTAACTATCACATATATGGAGGTACTTGTGGGGATTATTGAGTGTTCAATATCACCCTCAGTAACAATCACATATATGGAGGTAGTTGTGGGGAGTATAGAGTGTTCAATATCACCCTCAGTAACAATCACATATAAAGAGGTACTTGTGGGGATTATTGAGTGTTCAATATCACCCTCAGTAACAAACATATATGGAGGTACTTGTGGGGAGTATAGAGTGTTCAATACAACCTGTAGTAACTATCACATATATAGAGGTACTTGTTGGGAATATAGAATGTTCAATACAACCTTTAGTAACAAACATATATGAAGGAACTTAAGGGAAACAAATGGATTTAATAATACCACCCACAGGTACGCTCATATAAATGTGGACTCTACAAGTAATACACTTTATATAAACTGTATCAAAACTTTTTTGAACATTTGATCCAATCCGAAAAAACGGGATGCATTTGTGTGTCCTGATGCATGAACTGACTTCTTACTTTGATCATGGTAAATATATCTTTTAGGACATAATACTTTATCAGTCTTCATGAGTGAATGTTCAATTCAATATTTGACAAATGACATATCTAACATACCAAGCCTACTGAGCTGTTAGCAGGTAAATAATTACCATCAGATATATACAGGCAAGTCATTACAATGAATCAATGCAGACAATGAAACAGGATGCTTGCAGTTTGTAGAGAACCATATATCACCAAAACTGAATACAGTTACAAGGTGTTTCAGGTTGACATCACTATGAGACAGATCATCAGACATGGGTACATGCACCAGACTTGAAAACTAGCATCCAATTTACTGTCCAGGATCCACATAGACCAGGTCAAATCAATAGGGAGATTCTTAAATCCTTTTTTACAAGCCTTATCACTAATTTTAAAAAATATATATAGAATTTTATTTGGATTTATTTCTTACACATAATCTGATGACATTTGAGAAATTTTATAAATAATTTCAATATATCATGTTTCCCATATGAACTAATTCCAATTTCAAGATAAGCTATGATTGATTAATATGAGACAAACAAACACACTTCAGAAAGTTAGTGTATATATATACCATACATGTAGATTATCTTCAATATTGTGTATGATCTGTTTAAATTTCTGTGATGAGAATATATAAAAAAAATTGTCTATATATGAAGCAAAATTTAAGCATATAGTTTCACCATCTTGGGAAAAAAAATGGATGAAGGAGGTCATTGCTGTCTGCCTCCAAAGTGATTACCTGGTCAATATGTTTCCAAGGACAGATTTTGTCTGGACAGAAAAAGTTAGAAATAGAATAACAACCAATCACAATGAAGTATTGTAGCTACCCCGGAGTGTTCTTCACTTCCTGTTCCGTGTGTTAACATAATCCATACTCTTGAAGAGCATTTTCAAGCGCCTCATCCTAATTCAAAAGAAAATGGTTAAATATCCCAAAATCAGGTGGTATTTTCTTACAACTTTTTATAATGCTTAACTGATTACCATGCCAAATGAAGCACAAAAACTCTGGGATGCTGATTATTTCAATGTACTTGTTACCATGACAACAAGATATTCTTAAAAGATATCACACAAATGAAAACTGATGTGAACACCAAAAGCAGCAAGTGAAGTTGTAATAGATGACCACAATGTAGTGAAATGTGTGTTTTTAATATTTTCTCATGTTTAATGAAAAGATGAAGTTGAAAAGAGGTGATTTCTGAGTCTTGAAAGTTCTGTGAGCCAGTACAAGCTTAAGAGGTGGAAGGGATAAACAAAAAAAAAACCCTAAAAAAATCTAAAAAAATATATACAAAAACTAGAAATAATTGCTCCATATGTGTTAATCCTAATTTCTCACACTGGTTGCTGAATTAAATATCTAGATTGATAAGTATGTATATATCAGGATACATTGCACATTGGTGTGTTTTGTAAAGATTTGCTTTAACTGGTAAAAACCTTAAGTAACCATGCAACCAAGTACAGCTTTAAAATCAAACTATAATAAAAATATTTACACAAAGACAATGTCATTAAAAGATGGAGTAAAAATGTTTCAGTTTTTGTTTGTGTTGACAAGTACATACCAATGGCTGTTTATTGTCAAAAAGCCTATAATTGATCTGTACTTCAGATATATCAAAAAAGAGAATTAAAAAAATTGTAAAAAATTGATGAATTAAGTTCAATAATCGCTGTCAATTGATTTAAGCAAATTTGTGAAAAAATGCATGAATTGACTCAGCATTGCATTTAAACAAAAGGCTGACATTAATGTTTTTTCTTAGTTACCAAGCAAAATATTGTGTACAAATTACATACGTATGTAAATAAGTTTATACATTGTAATTGAAAACTCATTTCTAACAGGAAAAAATCAGTTAAGTGTACAAATGTTACATGGTTAATAGCAAGATATAATTGTGAAGAAGTTAAAGGTGAATTGCTAAATAACAGATCTTTATGAGAGGACTTTTACCACTTGATTTCCAAGATTCATACTCTGAATTGGCGGAAATTTTTGACAATGAACTTACAATAACTAAGCTAATATTTCTACAAGCTTCTGGTTTGGAACCATTTACGACATTGATACAGGATTCCTATATCCACACACCCCTAATTATTCTAGTTAGAAGGAAACAATTATTAATTTGCTTGTGCATGCATACATTAACACTAAAACTACACTCTACATGCAAAGTGAACAGTGATTATGTACCAGTGCAGCTTATATAGTGTCACAATTATCTTCCAATGTCTAGATCTGAATCATGTGTTTGCTTGCTGGGTCTATTGCCCAATGAACAGCTAGGGTCATTCTGAGATAGGGTGTTCTTTGTAGTAGCTGGTGGCTACTTCACTGAACAACATACAGGAGGCCCTTGACATGCCATCCAGAGCTATTGGAATAAAGTATACATGTGTTGCCCAAGGTCCCTATCAGCAGATAGGTTTCTCACCTGGCATAGGCAGGGAGCAATGAACCTATGATCTCCATCTAACTTAGGTAGGTCTGTTCTACTGTCTGAACTATCATGATCCCATGACCTAATTCAGTAAATATCAAACTAACAGGTTAAATTACCTCCATCATTTTGTCTTTTTACCTCTTTTTTTCAGCAATTATTGAAAGCCTCCCTTTATAGGTCTCTCATTTCAATTTGCTTCTTTAATTCCAGTTTTAAATTAACAGAGCTCTAACTAGCTATCAAAAAGTATGGTAGTATTAAAAACAGCAGATCCCAAATGGATCTTGACATCCACATGTATATGTTCTTTTTTGGTTCCATATAAGTTGAATCTTTACCCTGGTTTTTGTCTTCTTTACCTTATCAAGCATTTTTGATTCACAGCTTGCATATGAAATTTTGACAATGATCTATCCTGTACTTATATGTGACAATTCTAACTGGCATTTTTTTCTAATCAATTGCAAGATAAAACATACTAAATTACATACTAAGAGGAGTCAACATAGAAAAATTTGAGAAAAATCCACAGAGTATTCTTGATTTCTGAAAAGGTTTTTATATTTAATAAATATTTTTATATACCATATTCCTATGTACCAAGCGTTTATATACAACGATACACAAACTCCGGATAAGTTTAATTTTCTTGATTTAGGAAATGTCTACTAATTACGCCCAAACAAAGGACTTATAACTTCAGGTCAGTCCTTTTTTCGGGCGGAACTTATCAATATATCCTAAATAAGGAAACCTAATGTATCTAGAACTTTTTGCGATTGAATCCTATTTAGGGTTTATCCCTATTCTTCTATCACCATGCATACCAGATGGTGTCCAGGCAATGGCTACATGGAACCAACCAAACCTAAAGGGTGTAGGCTCTACCCCGAAACAATGTTGTAACAAAGACCATAAAAAATTAAAAGTAATACATTTTGCCTTAAAGTCCACTTCTAGGACTGAACTTAAGAATATCAGTTCCTGGACACGTATCTAAGCTTTCTCAGTCGGTGTCATATAACAAATATTACCTGGAGATTTTAGTCTGTAAATACTTGGACTACAACAGGGATACAAGTCTTCCTACATAATCAAATTTACCCATCACCTATTATAAATATATATATAGAACTGGTATATTACCTTATACCAATCACACTAGATGGCTAGCTGACACAGGGTCGTACTACAAGAGATCAACCTCTAACCAGGAGTAAAGTCAGGGCCAGACAGGTGATCTAATACCTCAGAGAATCAGTCATCTAGGTGAAAGACATGGTCTGCTGGGCCAACAACTATTTACTTACTGCTATACCTGTACATAGACTTGTTTTCTACTTACTCCCTACCTACACATGTACACAAATTCGTTTCCATCTAAGTGTGATGTGGTTTCAGTATCAAATTAATTTGTGTGGAATTTTGGTTGTTTTGATTTCAAGTCAGGGTTTTTTTTTTCAAGTGAGAATCGTGTGTAATAAACAAATAAGACGGTAATTTACCTCCTGAAGTAGATCCTGTGCTGCTATCGCCTTCAGTACGTTCTTCTTACTGGTATCCTGAACCTCACCTCCCAGTAGTAGCTCATCCAGCATAAAATAGGCTTTCTCAAAGTTAAATATAATATCTAGTTCACACACCTGAAATATAGAAATCAAACAGGCCAAGTTACTTACTTCATACTCTGGGGTAATTTGGAGTTTTCACGATTTCAAAAAAAAAAAAATCTTACAAAACTATGTGGTAATCTACATAGTGAACATGTTATGACTAAAGTATATCCCTTGGGATCAGATTCTTTAAATTGATTCAATAATCTGCCCCTTTCAGCTGAAATGCCAAGTCTCATTACAAATGAGGGACAATTTAAGTAAAATCTCACTAAAACACTTCACTAATCCCTGTTTTGTTTTTCTGTTATATAATGTAAACTTGTAAAATTTGTTCACACATATACAATGTATATTGGGATCATGGACAGAGTCTATGGTGGTATGTGGTACTAATTAATCACAACACCTTTTAATGAATTGATAAAATCACTTTAGCCGAATCTTACAATAGTCCATATTGATGTTTTTGAAAAGTAAAAATTTCCATGATTTTTCCAAAATCTTGAAACAAAGTGAATATATTTTTCTACTTTCTGTTAATTCAGTTTTCATGGTATCTTCTTTTTGAGACTTGCTTCTTTCCTCAGAAATAACACGATATCGACAGAAACATTAACCACTTCTACAGATCTTTCAGAACAGTAGCTGCAAGAGTCCTGTACTTACACTTCCGAAATATTTATCGAGTAGCTCTACATATCGGTGTATGACTTCTAGTGTAAGAAGCTCATTATCTTCTGGTTCGATGGCACAACAGAAGTACAAACTGGCATATCTGACAACAAGAAAAAGTCATTAATAAAGTTATTGAAGATTTTGAATCACCTGCTTATAAAATTAACATGGAATAACAAATAAACAGCATAAGATGGAGTCCGGGCTGTAACATAACTTTCTGAAGGTTTGATATAACACTACAATTGAATTGATGTAAAATATACTTAGCAAACTTCAGAAGATAGATATGTACCGATCTTTTATTCTCTTTTTTATTTAAATTAATAGTAAATTTAAGCCCCTCCCTTTCCCCCTCCTTTATACCAGTTGAACTAGACTGTTTAAAATTTGCGTCCTTGGTACATATATCAAAACTTTAGGCCTTTAGCATCACTGAAAAGTTCTAGCAGGATGAATGAGCTGAATTATTCAGTTTAAATCACTGTTTGGCTCTAGTTTAAATCACTGTTTGGCTCTATCTAATTCTATATTTGTATTGAAAGGTGCCATTTATTTGTGTTTTTGTTCAATCAGTTATTAAATAACTTCTAAACTAGATTGTTGGTTGCATAACTCAAATCAAGATCCTGATAACACATATAACCACTGAAAACTTCCCAGTGTACAGTCAATTTGTATTCTTTGTGATGTCAGTCAATTTGTATTCTTTGTGATGTCAGTCAATTTGTATTCTTTGTCATGTCAGTCAATTTGTATTCTTTGTGATGTCAGTCAATTTGTATTCTTTGTGATGTCAGTCAATTTGTATTCTTTGTGATGTCAGTAAATTTGTATTCTTTGTTATGTCAGTCAATTTGTATTCTTTGTGATGTCAGTAAATTTGTATTCTTTGTGATGTCAGTAAATTTGTATTCTTTGTGATGTCAGTAAATTTGTATTCTTTGTGATGTCAGTAAATTTGTATTCTTTGTGATGTCAGTCAATTTGTATTCTTTGTCATGTCAGTAAATTTGTATTCTTTGTCATGTCAGTAAATTTCTATTCTTTGTCATGTCAGTAAATTTGTATTCTTTGTCATGTCAGTAAATTTGTATTCTTTGTCATGTCAATACTTATTACATTACCATCTTTACTTTACACATTGTTACCTTTTGTACACTATTTTCAGATCTTTCCACTCGAGAAAGCTGCACATCTTGGGTTTTCGTGCCAACACCAGTGTTATAAGTTCCCGTGTGATCTTTTTCTTTGACTTGTCGGTGTGGGCCGTGTACCATTTTTGTAAACGTAACTTGCCTTGTCGACTAAACAGAAGCATAAACTGCATCTAAAAAAAAGCATAAAGAAAAAAATAACCAAGTGTTTAAAAAAATGTAACAAGAGGCTTGATTGGCCTGTATTTTCTTATTGTTACTTATTTAACTTTTGCCAATTATTAAGTTGGTAGGACAAAATCGTTATAATCACCTCACTGGAAGTCTTTACATATGTGAGAGTTAGGGCTAATTTCTTGTCCCCTTTATACCACTGACAGTGGACTTACAAAAATATGTTGCACAATACTCCTAGAACTGGGAGACAGGGGCTTATTTAAATACATTGGCACCTTGAATTTGTATGTGGGATGTTTTAATACCAGATATTAGCACAACACTGTGAAAACCACTGGCAAAACAGATTGATGAAATGTAATTTATTGCACATTGACCATATCATTTCGATCTTCTCTTTAGCTAGATCATTTGAGCATAAGGCTATACGGTATATCTAATGAGTCAGAGATCCCAGTTCTGAATCCTAGCAGCTGCATTTTAATACAGAATAACCTGTTACAATCAGAAGAGCTCCTTACAGCTTAACCATAGCCCTGGCTATATACTGAATACATATTAATATTTGGGGTAAGACATGCATACACATGGCTCCTGTAGTAGAAGTAAGTGAGGTATAAATGTGGTGAGTGGTATCAGTAAGATTAGTACACTGCTCTAGCATGCTACATGTTAGCTTAATCCTGTTTCAAACAAATATATAAGCCACTGTTGTGTCAGTGACTATCAGAAGACAAGCACACACATACAAAACAGAATTCCTAGCTTTACAATGATAAATTGTAAATCAATTTCAAAAAGAGCAGATCAAGACACTTTAAAAACGCATACAGATGAGATTAAAATATATAAGATACGACAACAATAATTTATATATCTCTGGCCAGTTGAAACAGTTCAGTCAATCTGCAATTATTCTACAATAAAGATGACAGGTTTTGAAATTTCTTGTCAAGCAATGATTTGAAAAGAAAGTACCATTTTTGTTACCTTGTACATAGAAGGGTAACAACATTGCCTGAAATATGTGTGTGCATTGACCCTGCATTATGATTAAATTCTGAAAAAGTTAGTTTCAGGCAGGCTTGGCATTAAATCAGAAAGTGTAGAATATTCCGCAGACTAGCCTTGGTCCTGATCTGTACATGACGGTTTTTTTAACAGGTTCAACCTCTCCAGCTGTTTCTACCAGCTACATGAATGCAACCCTAATACTAAATTTACATGTGTACAGAAATTGGACACAATTATTGTAAGTATTTCAAGTACTGCCAAGTACTGTACAGCTTTATGTATTTAAAGGTAATTTTCAGAAAGATTTTTTTCTTTATTTCAAATTATATATAATACATTCTATGTAAGAAATGAAACCTTGAAGACGTAGATGGATGATAGACTTGATACTGTGATGAACCAGTTATTTTATGTTGTTAAGTAAAATCAGCTATTTAGATTTTAAGTATGGTACTATGTGTCTTGAGCATTGAATTGCAATCTGCATATAATATAGATTGGGAATTTTAAACATTGTATTGCAATTTTCGTACAAAATAATTACAAATTTTATTATTTTCTAATATAAGATTAAAGTTAGATTTTTAATCTCGCATATGTACACAACACTTTATTAAATTAGTAGTAAAGCAAATCTAAATATTTCATCAGAGATTTCTAACTGTTATATCTGAGAGCTTGCTGATTAATCTACATACTTTTGCTGCACGTTAAAGCTTGCCAAGTGTCTCAACAGTGTCAATATAGTAGTATCACTATGTATACCCTCGCCCGTCAAATCTGAATCCTGCTGTCAACCTCTTTGTATATGCCTTTAATACTAGACAAGAGAAACAGAAAAACATTACAATAATATGATATCATGAACAGGAAATACAGGCTGCTGCTACAACACCACTTCAGCTCTGTCTGTATAGACATCGCATTACATAAAAACTACCATTTCAAAATCATACAAACTTTAATATTCTACAAGTCATCAATGATCATCATATGAAGTTTTCGCTTCTTTTAGAAAATTTTCAATTTAAATGCTCCAAAAATTCAGACCAGAAAATCATCAAATATTTACTCTACCTATGTGTTACCACCTGTTTAAGAAGTTGTGAGCTACGAAATTCTGACGGGTAATTATAGAAAAAAACGTAAGTTTGAAATTGAAATAACAGTATATATGATTATAGTAAGAATAACACAGTACAGATATAAAATATCACCCCTTACTGTTTGTACAGCAGTGTAAAAATAATTGCTTCAAAAATGAGGGATACCAACATTAGATTATATGTAGTGGGAAAGTTTTGGGAGCTTAGTATATACCCAAATGATTGTGGTGGCAGACATTTTGATTTTAAATATCTCCTTTTTAAAACTAATTCAGGGAACAAAAACCATCACCAGTGATTACAGCTTAGTGTTTTAAATGTGATTTCATGTAGAAATAAACTCAGGTATATTTCATTGATTTCTGTATAAACAAAACTTCAGAAAATGTCTAAAAACAAAAACTTGCAAACTTTGAATAAGTTGTTTATATTGATTGTTTGGGTTTATATTGTTTAACATCAACATTTAAGGTTATATAAGGACAGGAATAGGAGGCATCAAGTCATCACATACATGCATTATGCTTTGAATTCCAGAACATCCTATCTTAAATATAAAAACAAGAGGCCCATGGACCTTAACAGTGACCTGAGTTAAAATGCTGTCATTCTTCTTGTAACATGTCATAGAAGTAATGTTGTAGTAGTAATAAAACAAGGTAACTGGAACTACATTGTACATGTAATACAAATGTAAACTGTACACTACAGTAACTGTCATCCTTTGATAAGGATTCTTACACATTTGAATTAAAGCGAGGTTACACTCAAAACTGTGTATACAAAGAATTTTTAGTTCCACCTTTTTTGGAGTATTGAGATGAAGATTTTTGAATTTTCAGTCAATCTGACAGTTTTGGTCCCACCCCTCAGGGGCGTGGCCACCATATAATTTACAATATATTGTTGCACCTTTGGCCATGGAAGATCTCTGCAAAATTCCATTGAAATCGGTACTATGGTTTCTCAGAAGAAATAAACAAGAGGCCCAGAGGGCCTGTATCGCTCATCTGGATCTTTATGACCAACAGTACTATATCTGTGCATATGTTCCACAGTAGATGCTTAAAGCGATATGACAAATTACTCCATATGGGTTCTGTCCCTTAGTAGTCAGCCCCCTCATCTGTACAATGTTGAATTGAGACTTTCTTATGATGTTTCCAGTTAAATATAATTGATAGCTTTCTTTTAAATCAAGGAAAGAAGATGGTCAAACAATATAGCAGAAAAACTCTTAATTATAGCTGGACGGATGACCCAATACAGCAGAAGCTTACTTGCCCTTTAGATCATTGTTTACAAACACAGATACAACATATTTGAGACTTGCACAAGTCAACATTATATATCAAAAATTAAATATAAAGACAGGAAAAATTAAGGTACATGTAATTATAAACCATAATCCTAACTCAAAAACAATAATAAAATGTTTCATGCATATCATTAGTGATGTCACCATGGTCAGTTAAGCTCCTGTTACTGGAGATATAATGATAACAGTTTACTGTAGGCCTATAGACACTGCATAGCAAATGGGATCAACTTAGAATTTCTTATTTATTTATGCTATAATTATGAAGAATCTTAAATCAAAATGAAACTCTTGCAATTCTCTTTCTGATCATGTTTTCTGTATTTTAATGCTATGAATAGAACATAAGTAATTGGCTAACATGTAGTTTTTCACATTACTTAGCTCAAGCCTCTCAGACCTCCAGGGGGCTTGGCCCAATCTAATTTTTTGGGAACAGTGTGACGCCACTGTGAAAGGTCTTTATAATTTTGTCCACATCATACCAAGAAAGCTCCCAGTCAAATATGTCCCATTCATTAAGTCAGGAAGGTTCTACATATTTGTATATAAGCCTTTACTGGCCAAATATGATGGCTTTTTGGTTAATCAGAAGAAGTTGTTTACTATTTTACCAAATTTAACACCAATGACCTTAAATATCATTATGGGTCAAGCTGTTTTTTCACACACTATGTGGGCACCAATTAGGGAACCTTTTGGCAAAATATTATGATCCTAGGCTTTTAGGTTAATCAGAAGTTGTTCAAAGGTTTAACACATTTGACTGTTGTGACCTTGAATATTGGTCAATGTCATTTCTGTTCTCAAATATTACTCGGCATCATTGAGAACCTATTTAATATCACTATCCTAGATGTTTTGGATAATCAGAAAATGTCATTTTAACTTTTAGCAAACTTTGTAGGACACTTAAAGAGTAACATATTAGCTTAATGATTCTAGGCCTTTCGGTATTTGGGGAGAAGTCGTTCAAAGATTTTAACACATTTGACCTCTGTGACCTTGAATATGAGTCAAGGTCGTTTCTTTTCGCAAATTTTGCTGGGCTTCATCAAAGGAACTATCCTGACAAATATGATGACTTGATGCCTTTTGGTATTTCAGAAGAAGTTGTTTAAATGAAAAATTGACAGATGTAGAACGAAAGGACGGACGGACGCAGCACTATGACATAATCTTACTTGGCCCTTTGGGCCAGGTGAGCTAAAATGTTTAAAGTTTATGATGCACAGTGCTGGACAAAAAGTCATTTTCATAATTTACCATGAGACTTTGTCACAGGTGACCTAAAAATCAGGTCATTCAACTTCCAACATTAAAACAGTCTTTTGTAGGGAATTTCCATTTCTATCTGCTTTTAACATTTTTATAGATGGTGAAGATGTCAATTCCAAAATAAACCTAAAATTTGGCAATAATGTTATTTCAGTACTTTGTACTCGATTCAGTGAAATATCAATCAATTACAACAACTGATTCAAAAAGGATCTTGTCATCCACCACTCTTTGATCTCTCATCGTTTTTAAAAAGTTGGATCTTTTCTGTCCTTTTCTCATCTTTCCAATGTTTCTGATAATAATTATATGAAATTTAAAAATTCTTTTGAAGAAATAGCTTTATGATAACTTTTAATTTTCAGGTCTGAGATGGTAGGCAGTCCACCATTATGTTTTACTGATCAATTCCAAAATAAATGAGGCATAGTTAGGAAATATGGGGAACCTTATAGTTAGGAAATATGGGGAACCTTCATATAAAATTTGTTAAAGATCCATCCACTACTTAATTCTCAAGAAATAGCTGTAACAAGACTTGTCTAAGGAAACATCACAGAATAACGAGAAAACCCATGGTTTATACTTTATCATCAATAACATGTAAGACAAATGTACATCAAAATATAATAGACCAGTCACCCATGCAATAGGATGTATCATGACAGCGAAGTTGTTCTCTTCATGAATCCTGTACATCTGAATCAAAATGAGATAACTCGTCAATATGCAACAAGATGTCATGGCTAAAAATGACAGTTTATATTGCAACAGGTGAATATGTGTCTGAAAGGGGAAAAATCAAACACTTGAATTTCAACTTCTACAAATATTCTGATACGAAAGGGTACCTCAATGTAGAACAGCAAGGTGAAATACCCAAAACCACCAAAAACTAGTAAGATGTATCCAAATATGAAAGATAACATTGAAATTTTCAACATTAGTATTGAGTTTATCTCATTCTCATATCAGATTAGGCTGTGCAGCACTTAAAGGCACCAGGAATTAACACACACTGTTACATGCATGTATATCACATGCGGTTCAGTGAAAGTCTGAATGGAAATGTGAACATTCTGTGTAAATCCTGGAAAAATAAATGTGAAATATATGTGTTTATATTAATTCAAAAAAATGTATATCATACCTTTGTAAATTTCAATGATACATGTATTGATGCCTCTCTTATCTCTTACAAATTGTTAAGATAGAGTTAATTAAGCCAGAGCGTAATTGATGGGCATTATTTATTATATTAATTAACATATCCTTGTTAATTGTGAGCCTAAGGCTGTCGATCTAGTAAAATCACTGCCAAGATGTCTTTTTGTTGTTCCCTCCCTATCCCATTGTTGGGGGCGTTCAGTGCTATACAGCCAAAAGCGACTTGACAACAACACAAATGTAAATTTTAGCATTATCTATCATATTTGAAAATATTTTATGAGTTTCGGGTAAGTTTTAGGTATTTCGTCACCTTCAGGAGAAAGCCTACCAAGTTGAAATGATTGCTAACAAATTGAATTTTTTTGGTACTAGATCAAATATTCAACACTTTGCTGTTGTGGTTAATATTTCATTAATGAGTTTAACTCTGCCCAATTATAGATACTTTTCCATGTAAAATCTGACACATATCAGGGCTCTCACACCCCATTTTGGGACTGGGGCCCTGGGCCCTTAGAATTGGGAAAAATAATGGTGTTTTCCTTAGAATTTGTAAAACTTGGGGTCTAAATTGGGAAAAAAAAGATACTATTTTGCATTGGGAATGGGGCCAAATATTGGCCCCAAATCTAGCAGATCGAGAGCCCTGCATATGATGATATCGATATACAAAGATCGTTGAACAGGTGAGTTATGGCCAGTTATAAGTTTCACAATTGCTGCTATGTTGACTGTATGAGACATTCTGATGACTTGACTAAAACTGTCATCATTTCAAAAGTTTCTCACCACAATAACAACTATTTAGTCTATTTCTAACTATACCTTTTGTTGCTTAACTTTTGAAAATAAACATGTAAATGACACTCAGCTGACAGCCACAAAAGCTCACTATGCTATGTACTAAGCAGCTAAATTGTCTGTATACACAGTGTATATTTCAATACACTATCAAAATAGTCATAAATAGGCATGACAAGACTTAATTGATGATCAAATAACAACTGACCAAAATGTGATATTAAATATCAAGGGATACCGAAAAGTAATTTAGAAAGTAGCTAATCGAGGCATCTCGGTCATAGTGCAGAAATTGAAAATATCAGAATTGCCGAAACACTGGAACGACTGAATTCCGAAACGATCAGGAACGATCTCAAGATTTCAGCATTTAACGTAATCTGAAATTGTGTCTCATTATTTATGCTTATTGGATATGACAATCAGCAAAGCGTGAAAAAGACTTGCATGATGCATATAGTTAAGCCATATTAATAGCACTTGCCTACCTTCACCCCATAATTGCCAGATGATAGATGGCCAACACCACCTCCCCATATCCGACATGATGCCGGCTTCAATTTATGGGCTACATTTCAGATTCGTTACCATTCACTTACCATATTTAGTTCTGTTGTGCAAAACCGTTTCTATATCAAAATAATTAAAATGTCTCGAAAGACATAGATGGCCACTAATTTATGTTACTTTAGCATTCTCTTTGCCAACACCTCTCTTTCCGCGTTGCTTTTCCGGTTACAGCATTTGTGTTTTACGTCATCCATTATTGACATCCGGTACAGAAGTCATGACGTTTAAAACAAAACAATGAACCACCCATGCTTGCATAATTCTTCACGCAATTTGACACAGTCAGGTAGTGCTCACTGCTTCACCGTTCGGTCCAAAATGTGACGTTTGGACGCTAACACTTCTAGTATTTGTTTATTGTTTGGTGAGTTACTCTTTTTTTCTCATGCAGTGTTAACCAATGAGCTGATTACATATACTTGCATTAACTATATTTTGCATGTGTGATCAGCTGATTTAATATAAATTCAGGTTGTATTGATCAAGCGTGTTAAGCAAGATCATTAGGCCTAAATAAAAATCGATTATGACATAGAACACAGAATTAATGATTTTTAATTAATAACTTTATAATACACCAAGGCATAAGCGGATTTCATGCAATCTCATTATACGTATAATTAATGTGTTTTTTTTTTCAAAACAAGTTAGACAACGTTAACACTATAGTATATTTAAATACTAGAGAGTTTTTGCTTCTCATAAAATGTGGTGAAATGAAGAACATGTTTTGTAACCAGGTTGATATAAACAGAAAGTTTTAGAGGCTTACTGGAACATTATCAGGAAAGACTGGTAGCTGTACAGATATGTCCTTCTTCAGAAATGCAGTTTGGTTCATGAAAGGACTGAAGGAATACACAAAGTAAGTAATGTTTTCACTAGAAAGTTATCATAATCATCATTATCATCATCATGTCTGTCAAGGTTTGATTGTTTGAAATAATGGTGGTAGATGATGGCAGCTATATTGACAGTTAGAATTGTTATTACAACATCAGAAAGTATTAGATTAATCTTGGATCATCATTTGTATTTTTAGGCATTACAGAACCAAAATGAGAAACTTGCAGCCATCTTGAATTTTGACAGTATTTTTAAAAGAAATGGTGCTTGTTGGGGCATATGGTCCATGATTTAGGTTTAAAAATTAAAGAAAAGAAAACTTGAATTTTGTTCATAAATTTTCTGTTATTCTAACTTTTTACATAGATTCTCTTTGGTGCATATTGAAGATTTAGATGGAAAGAAGAAAAATGACAGACAGCTGGTAGCCACCTTGAAACTGATCATGACATCTGTAGATTATATCTAGTGGATGGATCTTGAACTCTATATTAAGGTTTCTTTTCTTGAAAAAAAATGCAGTCTTTTAATTCGTTCAGCTTGAAATGTACCAAATCTTGGAGGAAAGAGAGGAGAGCAAACTTACACGACATGCTATGAAGATCGTGGAATTGGAGATGCTAAGATCATTTCTGGAAACTGTTGTTAAATGATATTTGAAATTTTTCAAATTAGGTTGAACATAGTGTTTATAGTTTGTGCAAATACTTAGAAAAATTAAATACCATATATATTCTGTGTACCTAGTCAAGCCAATTGTGGAAACATAGCAATATTTGTTTTGGCCTAAATACCATTCTTGTCCGTTATGATATAAGTCAGCTGATATACTCTTATGAAAAATTCATAAATTAATCAAGCTACATATATCCCTATGTTTACACAAAGGCCGAATTATACGCCAAGTAATTTATATAGCCAGCTTTATGTACAGTACAATAATTAAATGTAACAGGTACCGTCTAGTGTTAAGTAGGAATCAGAAATACTCTCTAGTAATCAATAAACAGTGTACATCAAAGATCGGTCAACAAATCATTTGTACATATTATTGATTAGTGTTGCCTAAATTTTTCTAAGGAAATATAAAAACTTTTTTTTTCAAAAGATAAAGCAGATTTCAGAAATATGGGAATTCTCCTACATTTATAAATGTATTTCTCCTTCAAAGACACTGATTAAACAAAAATCTACTTAAGCGTCATTTTACAGATTGTCAGAACCACATTTTTCTATCTTGTGTCACATCCAATTAAAAAGTTTGTACAATTATATGTAAAAATACCTGGTGTGGCAGCATATCACAATTTAAATTGCCACAAATGCCAAATTATATGGTATAAACAGTGGTATGGCCCTCTAGGTATTTTTTATGTACATGTATGGATGTGTTTCTCAACTTTACATATTTGAAATGGCCAAGAAAAAGGGTTGCTCAAAATTGATATTATAAAATGTATTACCAGGTATATACTATAATATGTCTATATGCAGTTGTGATATATTGCTTACCAGTAATTTAACTGTTCTGTAATGTATTGGATCAAATATAGTATAGATGAAAGGTTTAGAAAGAACAGTGAATCCAATTAAAATTCAAAGAGAAAACTGGGACAATTACAGGTGGTGATATCAAAGCCTGTTTAAAGGTGGAAAAACTTTGGATGATTTTTAGCTCTTTGCCGTTCATAAAAAGATAGCTTGATACTGTAAAATCATATATTTTTGTGGGACTCAATTTTCAGGGTTTTTGAAAATAATTTTTTCATGGACACATGATTTTGTTGATGCATATATAATATAAATATAGCTTCATAATTGTTCTGATTCTAATTAACAGTTCATGGGCTTATAGAATCATTCACCCATAATAGGATGTGATTAGGGAATCTCAACCCTTGAGGGATGATTATCAATCTCTCAAGTACTCATGTTTGAAAACTTAATAATCTCACCCAGAGGTTGTGAAAGATTATTTTCTCTAACCCGTTTTCCTTGTCCAAGTGCAAGACAAAGCATATTGTGTGTAAACAAAAATAAACATGATATAATTCTAGTTCCACTTCCGGGTGACGTGATTGATGTCACCTCAATTGTAGTCAGAACTTGCGAAGAACACACATAGCTTGTCTCAATCTAGGATGAGTGTAGAAAATCTCACACCTGGAAAAAAGTGTTTATCTATATATGTCTAGGATGAGAGAAATACAAATCGTTTATTAAGATCACCAACACAATTAACCAATTCTCCCCCAAAATTATTTATTTTACAGTATACCATTCCAGGGAAAGATATGTATCATTCTGAGTGAGAAGGTTTGAATTTTTGCAGGGGAGGATATGTATCATTCTGAGTGAGAAGGTTTGAATTTTTGCAGGGGAGGATATGCCAGTGCTAGTAAGGACTTTAAGGCCTCTGACCTTGATGTTGATGTATCAGGAAGAAGTTACATGATCACTGGAGCCAATAGTGGGATAGGGAAGTGTGCTGCTGTGGCCATTGCTAAAAAAGGTATGCATGTCCAACTTTCAAAGAAGTAGTCTCCCATTAGTACAAGGTAAAGAATCTACAACATTCTACTTTACAGGCGCAAAAGAATGGAATTCTCTTCCAGATTATATTAAAAGTATATATAACAAGCTTAAGTTTAAAACCTGTGAAACGTCACTTTCAAAACAGAATGCAAGAGAAACAAGATAGTTATTATGTATATTAAAAAGGGAAATACATTTGTAACTCCATTTTGAGGACCCCAATGGAAATAAGCGTTTTAAGGCTTTTTTGGGAAATCCTAGGATATATGTACTTTTGTCTTTATTAATAATTATAATTAGCTGATACATTAAAGATATAGCTAACAACTTATTCCTGATTATGTATAACATGTTATATGTGCCATATAGTCATATGTTTTGTATACAAATCTGTCCATATTGATTCTAAAAAATCTTTAGTATTGTTATTATTATTATTTTCATAGTTAAGAATTCACTTAGATGATGATGTCATATAAAAAATAAATTTCTTAGATCAATAATGTAAATTTTCTGTCCAGAAAAATCAGAAACCATCTTTGATATTTAAAACAGTGAGATGAACAGCTTGACCATAAAGGCCCTAACTGACCTCTTGTTTAGAAAGGATGAATATATGTAATATTCTGAGGTTCGTGTGAAACCTTATTCAATCAGACTTGTATGTTTACTTATAGTCAGAAGTGTTAAATAATGTCGTAGATGCGCTGTTTCAGGAGGAACTGTGCACATGGTTTGTCGGGATCCAAAGCGTGGAGAAGAAGCTCGTCAGGCTGTCAAGGAAGAGTCTCAAAACCAGGTTTGTATATTACCCTGATGCTGTAGCTAGGTTTGTTGCAGTTATGTGAGGATAAATGCAATCAAAGCTATTTTGGTACCCACTGTATGTACAAAATCCCAAATTATCAGGGTGCGAGGTCACATAGGTCAATAGTTCTTGTATCACACCTCGACAAAATGGCCATTCCAAAATACATCAACAGCTCAGAACCAATGTCCAGATAATGTGCTTCATTTTTTTTTTTTTTTTTAATTATTTTGTCATTCTGTCAATTTTTTTTGGTCGACATATAAGCTGCCCTATACATGTCTGATTAGATTTTGACAGTCATCAGTCAAGAGTAAAGGTCAAAAGTCACCCTTGATGATTTTTGAAACAAAAAGCTTGAGTACAAGATGTGTTGTTAACCCCTTAAAAGATTTACTATGTAATAGTTTTAGATTAGAAGAAAAGCTGAAGGTTGAGGGGGTATATCTATGTGAGCCCCTGCTCACTTTGTTTTTATTTTAATGTAACTTTAACATGTATTCACTGTGTATTCACTGAAGTAGTTTCCATCATTGTCAAAAACATTAATTACAAAATGTCATGCCTGGTAATACATCAGTATTATTAGATTAAGAGTGAAGGATTGTATGATAAAAAAAAAGCTAATGAATCAGCAGAGTTCATTAATGTCTTTGCACAACAGTTTTCTTATCTTTAAAATATTTATGCCCAGTATACCATATGATTCTTTATGCAATGTTGTTTATTTAGAGGTTGGTAGATTAAAGAGATTTTAACCATCAGATAAAATGTGTAGGTTTGTATACTGAGTATTGAGGTCATATATTGTATATATATTGGTTAAATGACTACAAATTACTTGTTATGAAGATAATTATATAAACATTACTTTATTTCCAATAAGAGAAACAGCTTTTTTCTGTTTTACTGTTAATCTGTCAAAAACTAATTACAATCAGTCATTTATTGCTTATGAAAATGAAACAAATAGCGTTCAAGCTTTCCCGACTTTACTTATGTGTATGAATAATAAAAAATAAGCAAAATACAATATGATTCTAACCGTTCAGTCTTGATATAGATTTTAAAATTAACTATAAAAGATGTCATTCAAACTTTTAACAATGGATTTAGATTGGCAGGTCAGCTGCATTAATTGATCTAAAAATAATAAGATTAAAAGTTCTCCAAGGTTAATTGATATAAAGTTATCTCCCCTGACTGAAATCTTTACGGTGCTTTTTGTATCATTTCAGGATGTACAGCTACATATACTTGATATGTCTAAACCGAGGGATGTTGCCAGATTTGCTCAGAACTTTATTTCATCAGGGAAGCCTCTGAATGTTTTGGTAATTATATTCCAGAATTCTGTAGGGGGAAAAAAGGTTTTTGCTCTGTAAATTTAGAATTAATGTGCCATGTAATGATTATCTCATGTCAATTGTAGAAAACACTGATGGTTCTAAACATGCAGTGTTGTAGAGAAAAACTTATCATTTTCAAACTAATAGTTAAAACACTTTTGCCTGAAATTAAATATTCCTAGGTGTAACATTTGAAATGATATCACTAGATTACGAGTGATCAATCTATTTGCTGTAGTCTTGTACACTATAAAATGTAGAGCTTGATGGTATCTTTGGTAAGTGGAAGGATATTGCCTCAAAAGTAATTTGCTTATGTTTTTTTTTGTAACCTTGGCCTACATATAAAGCCACAAGAGAGAAATTACGTACAATATATTAAAATCTTCAAGCTTTTGAATGTAACATACAATTTGTACGTTGACAATATGTGTGCAGGGAAACGTTTGTTCAGGTTGAAGTCAACTGTCAGTGTGATATTAACTTGAAACAGATCTTTATGTTGCTTGAGATAAGTGTTTCAATGGTCTAGTGCCATAAAGCTTCTTGGCTGATATTTAAGTATTGTATATAAAAATAGAAGGTTAATTTCTGCCTTGGAACTCAGGGAAACATTCACTAGATTTATATCCTCTTTGCTTACCAGATCAATAATGCTGGTTGTATGGTCAACACAAGAACAGTTAATTCTGAGGATGGACTAGAGAGGAACTTTTCCACAAATACACTTGGTATGTCAGTTAGTACTTGTGTACATTTTATTTATGATGAACTTTCACTAACACACTGGGTATGTCAATTGAATTCTTTTGTATGTTTTATTTATGATGAGCTTTCACTAACACACTGGGTATGTCAGTTAAGTCCATTTGTATGTTTTAGTTATTAAGCTCATTTCAAGACTTCCATGAAATATACCGTTTACATTTTGCTTTAAATTCTTGTTAAATCTGCAAAAATAAGAACCATTCAAAACAATATGCCGTTGAAGTGACCTTATGTTTTTACCGATGTTTTACAGGTGTACATATGCTGACAACTGCTCTAATACCACTGCTGTCAAAACAAGAGAAATCCAGAGTGGTAAGTATCAACAGCACAGCATTGTGGATAAGTGAAAAATAATGCAAACACATTCGTGGAATAAAGAATGATGATGAAATCATCAATTTTTTTCTACTTCTCTTTTGGTAATGCAGAGTTCTCTGCTCTTGGAAGTAGGTATTGATTATTACATAATTTGTTTGCGAGAGTGACATAAGAAACGACAGGATTTTATTATGCAAACTTAATAATCAATATCTTCCCACAAGGACAGATAACTCTGCATTTCAAAAAGACAGAATAAATGTACCTATGAAATTCTCATCTAAGGGAAGATGTCAGTGCAAATAATTATTTGATTTTGAATATGCAATCCAATCACTCTGTATGTCTGTCATCTGCAATATTGTATTTGAGAACTCTTCCTAAACTAATGAACAGATTCAAATGAAACGTCCTATCAATATAAAGGACCATAGGTAGATGTGCTTGCATTTTTTTTTCAAAATTTTGGTTGCCATGGTATTGGTAAATGTAAACAGTTTTACTATAAGTAGCCACTACTCCTTGATAATTCAACAGATTTTATTATTTGTCTATGGTCAAATTGGTCCTGGCCTGTGATTAATAAGAATTTAGATATTATCGCATTAGGGGATGCCAAACATTACCATAGGTTACTACTAAAAGTTTTTATAGGTATTGTCATGGCAACTAAGCTGAAGCAAATTGTGGTCTCTTTTTGGTTGAAATTCAGATATTGTCTAATTCTTATCTGCTTTTGTATAAAAAAGGCAATCAAATTTTTCATGGAGTATTAACAAAATTTGGTATAGGGGGATACTAAATTCAATTTTTGATTTTTGTTTAATTTCAACTCTTTTACATTGAGTTTTACTGGTCTTTGTGCAAGCAAAGGTGAATGTAAACTTTGCCACTTCAACTGCACAGTTCTTTTTTTTCGTTCATATATATTTATGTAAATTTTTTAATTGGAGGACATAAAATAGATAGGATAACAATTTGTACTCTAATCAAGTTTAGGCGATGACAAGGTACACGTCAGGGGAAAAGTGAAGTCCTACACAATGTACATAAAATGTTGAGGTCTTTGAGACTAAAACTGAAATAAATGACAGGTAAAATCTCAGCATCAGCAAAGGTTAAATAAGTGATATGTAGGATCTTTGTATATTTCTGGTGTTTTACAATCCTCAGGATGACAGTTCTGGGGTTTTACAATCCTCAGGATGACAATTCTGGGGTTTTACAATCCTCAGGATGACAGTTCTGGTGTTTTACAATCCTCAGGATGACAGTTCTGGGGTTTTACAATCCTCAGGATGACAGTTCTGGGGTTTTACAATCCTCAGGATGACAGTTCTGGGGTTTTACAATCCTCAGGATGACAGTTCTGGGGTTTTACAATCCTCAGGATGACAGTTCTGGGGTTTTACAATCCTCAGGATGACAGTTCTGGGGTTTTACAATCCTCAGGATGACAGTTCTGGGGTTTTACAATCCTCAGGATGACAGTTCTGGGGTTTTACAATCCTCAGGATGACAGTTCTGGGGTTTTACAATCCTCAGGATGACAGTTCTGGGGTTTTACAATCCTCAGGATGACAGTTCTGGGGTTTTACAATCCTCAGGATGACAGTTCTGGTGTTTTACAATCCTCAGGATGACAGTTCTGGGGTTTTACAATCCTCAGGATGACAGTTCGGGGGTTTTTTTATATATTTTCTCAATTATTTTTATTTTCAGGCTATTGTAGGTCACTTGATTACCTCCCTTTTCAGTAAAAAGTCAGAAATTTCATTTGTAAATTCCCATGGTCCCTTGTGCTCTCTTGAGTTTGGGAATAATTGGAAAAACAATATTGCAGACCGGCAAACATATTTGATTTCTACAGAAATAGCAAACTTTTGTTATTTCTGGAGAAATAGAGGAAGCATAATTCTCAGATTTACAATATAAGTTTCCTTTTGTCCTTAGTTGTGTAATGTTTATTTTGGGACTGATGAGAAAAAAGATGAAAGGGGGCGGGGGTTGGGTGGGGGGGGGGGCAACAGGCTGCCATCTTGAATTATTAGTCATAGGTTGTCGTAGCTATTTCAGGAAAAGAACGGATGAATAATTTTCAAAATTCCAGAGGTAGCCTTCTTTTGTCCTTAGTTGTGCATTGTCTATAATGGGACTGACCAGGAAGAAGAGAAGCATGGGGAAAATTGAACATAACTGACAAAGATCATGGTACCAGCCAAGATTCCTCTGTGGATCTGAAACAAACAAAAGTGTTATAATGAGTCGTCAGAGGTTTTTGTTTACAGTTTGTTGTTTTAATTGTGTACAGGTAACTGTTACCTCTGGTGGTATGCTTGTCCAGAAACTGAATGGTTCTGATCTACAGTTTGAAAAAATGAATCCATTTGATGGAACTATGGCATACGCTCAAAACAAACGTCAACAGGTTGTTATGACTGAACAGTATGCTAAAAAGTATCCAGACATCCATTTTTCCTGCATGCACCCAGGTTGGGCAGATACGCCAGGTATAGTAAATTCAGTGTTATTTTTAATCAGAAAGTTTGTACCTTAAGATAAATTCTAACAATCAAATTTATGATTATTTCATAATCAGTTCTTGATACAGAAATGTTTATATACATATTTATCGCTGTTATAACTTATTCTTTCAAAATCATTTACAAATCTGTACATTGAAATTACTTATGAATACAGAAATTTGTTAGATATGTGTATCAGAGATGGATAACTATAAAATAGGTTGTTTTTGATGGTTCACATTTCTGTGGTTGTACCCAAAGAATGAAGCAAACAAGTTTGATTTTTTCGGGAGTGAAATGATTACTGCTGATCTCTTCATTATCAGTAATTTTTTTGAAGGTGTGAATTTTTGTGGTTTTCTTCCATCCTGGAAAAATAACAAAATAGATATCCCTCCAAAATGCTGTACTTACCAGTATCAATTTCTCAAACCGAATAGCATTGAAATAGTTTTGTGAAACTGTATTTGTCCTGCATAGGACAGGTAGACAAATTCTGTTACATAATGAAGTAAAGAATGTTTGGTCTTATCTTAGCGGTACAAAACTCTATGCCTGACTTTTACGAGAAGATGAAAACTCGACTGCGGACTCCAGAAGAGGGAGCTGATACCGTTGTATGGCTTGCAGTGTCAGATTCTGTACCTTCATTGGACAGTGGCCTTTTTTACCAAGGTTGGTAACTGCTCGTCTGACAAGCCTATTACAATTGTATGAAATCTCTTCAGAGTAAAACTAGACCACATATCAGAGTCGTGTAAAATCTGATATTCTCATTTGCTCAAATTGTTTTTTCAAAGATTGCTTTTTTCTGGAGCACCTGATTATCAAATTATGAATAGTGTATTACTGTGTGGATGTATGGATTTAAGTACTCATGATACCAACAAAAATAAATGATCTACCATCGACACGGCAGAAGGAGGTTTATCAAACATAGTGAAATAAAGGATGTTAGAAAAATGCAACATCCAGGAAAAAACTTTACGGAAAATATTCAGTTAGGAACAAAGTGTTAGTAAAGGTAACTACTCCGATGCATTCTTCATTATTCAATGTTTCTATTCCTTTATTCATTTCATACTCTCATGTTTACACTTTTTCATGTATTCTTTAATATTTCCAGATTTTGTTTTTAATTTTTACAGATAGGCAATCAGTATCCAAACATCTACCACTGGCCTGGACCAAGTCGACGGCAGATGAGGAGACAACTTTCATGCAAAAATTAGACAACATCGCTCAGCAGTTTCTTGTTGAGAGCCCTGACTCTTAACATCTGTTGACATCTCTATCTGACAATTATTGTAGATAAATCCTAGCACTTTCTGATATTGTCTTCATGACATTCTCAACAATTTTCTACTAGATGTCACATGACCAATTTTTGGTGATAACATGCATGTGAGTTTATCTCTCCTTGAACAGTCTTGATCATACCTCTCCATGAACAGTCTTGATCATTTTGAGACAGGGATTTCATGTAATACCTGTCTGAACAACATTCGCAAGGCCCATCACATCCAGAACAATTAGGGTAAAGTGTCTTACCCTACGGAAACCAAATACGTATCATGTGCGTGATGAATTTATATAAATATTAGTATACTAGTTGTTATTTGTTTAAGTTATTTTTGAAATGTGATTTATTGTTAATTTTATTAATAGATTGACATTAACTGTTAATCAAAGGACATAGATGTTTCTTTCTACTTGACTTTTGTCTTTTCACATTTCTATAACCGGTAACATTGTGTCTTTATTATATAACTGTCTGTTTAACTAGCAATAATGTTGCATACTTAATGTATCATTGGTACCCTGGGGGGAGTTATGAATTGTTGTTACGATAGTCTTGAAACATTGTACAACTGTAGAATCTTGAAAAGATATTGATTATGACAGAAAAGTTTGTCAGAAGTAATTATATATAAACAAGTAACTTCATGGATTGTAAGGCAGCTAATATCTATTAACTGAATTCTCTTGAAATTCAGTTTCAGGTAACAAACCTAACGCAGGGTAACCAGTTGAGCTATCAGTAATGTAACAAACCTAACACAGGGAAACCAGTTGAGCTATCAGTAATGTAGCAAACCTAATGCAGGGAAACCAGTTGAGCTATCAGTAATGTAACAAACCTAACACAGGGAAACCAGTTGAGCTATCAGTATTGTTACAAACCTAACACAGGGAAACCAGTTGAGCTATCAGTAATGTAACAAACCTAATGCAGGGAAACCAGTTGAGCTATCAGTATTGTTACAAACCTAACACAGGGAAACCAGTTGAGCTATCGGTAATGTAACAAACCTAACACAGGGAAACCAGTTGAGCTATCAGTAATGTACCAAACCTAACACAGGGAAACCAGTTGAGCTATCAGTATTGTTACAAACCTAACACAGGGAAACCAGTTGAGCTATCAGTATTGTTACAAACCTAACACAGGGAAACCAGTTGAGCTATCAGTAATGTAACAAACCTAACACAGGGAAACCAGTTGAGCTATCAGTAATGTAGCAAACCTAATGCAGGGAAACCAGTTGAGCTATCAGTAATGTAACAAACCTAACACAGAGAAACCAGTTGAGCTATCAGTATTGTTACAAACCTAACACAGGGAAACCAGTTGAGCTATCAGTAATGTACCAAACCTAACGCAGGGAAACCAGTTGAGCTATCAGTATTGTTACAAACCTAACACAGGGAAACCAGTTGAGCTATCAGTATTGTTACAAACCTAACACAGGGAAACCAGTTGAGCTATCAGTATTGTTACAAACCTAACACTGGGAAACCAGTTGAGCTATCAGTAATGAACTCCCTTATTAATTATGTTTGAACATCAAACAACAAGGTCACCGGTCAAATTTAGGCTAGAGGATAGTAGAATACTCCAGCAAACCAAATTTAATCAAGATTCATTCACATTCAGCAAAGATATCGTACACAAACTGAAGCAAGGACAGACAGATGAAAATTTCCAAATTAATATAGCAGTTTTGTTTAGGATAAAAGTGAACATAAATAGTACACCTGGCACTGATAACTTCCTAAGTGAACATCAAATAGTACACCTGACACTGGTTACTTCGTAAGTGAACATAAAATAGTACACCTGACACTGGTTACTTTCTAAGTGAATATAAAATAGTACACCTGACACTGGTTACTTCCTATGTGAACATAAATAGTACACCTGACACTGGTTACTTTCTAAGTGAATATAAAATAGTACGCCTGACACTGGTTACTTCCTAAGTGAACATAAATAGTACACCTGACACTGGTTACTTCCTAAGTGAATATAAAATAGTACACCTGACACTGGTTACTTCGTAAGTGAACATAAAATAGTACACCTGACACTGGTTACTTCCTAAGTGAACATAAAATAGTACACCTGACACTGGTTACTTCCTATGTGAATATAAAATAGTACACCTGACACTGGTTACTTTCTTGTACATAGATTTACAGATTTTCAGCTGTTACATTGTTTGTATTAGGTACAATGTTCATCACATATGTATCACATAAGATATTACAGAGGTAGTGCATAGATATGTTCAGCAGTTTATCTCAATATGTTTATGTCTTGTCATAAAGAACAGCACATTTCCTAGATATATTTAGCAGTTTATCTCAATATGTTTATGTCTTGTCATAAAGAACAGCACATTTCATAGATATGTTCAGCAGTTTATCTCAATATGTTTATGTCTTGTCATAAAGAACGGCACATTTCCTAGATATATTTAGCAGTTTATCTCAATATGTTTATGTCTTGTCATAAAGAACAGCACATTTCCTAGATATATTTAGCAGTTTATCTCAATATGTTTATGTCTTGTCATAAAGAACGGCACATTTCCTAGATATATTTAGCAGTTTATCTTAATGTTTTCTGTTTATGAATTTGTACTACATGTCCTGGGAAATTGCTGTCACTTATTTAAGATATTATTATTGTTCAATAGAAATTACATAGTTTTGCTCAGAAATAAAAACAAAATGGGCAGAGACTTTCCTCGTCCATCTGTGCTGATCTCCAAGATTTATTTCCCTTTGTTTCACTCTATCAGCTGTTCAAAAGTGGCCAAATATGACCTTTGACCCTTTACTGTTGATTAAAGATCCACAAAATGTAATCAGGTGTAGAAGATTAATGATATGATGTAAATATGAACAAAATCTGTTTTAATTGAGACCTAGTTTATAAACTTCTTATTTCAATATGTTGAACTGTGAATTTTGACTTCACAACCTTTGACTGTAGGTCATCAATATATAATGAGAATGTTAATCTTAGGATACTTTGGTTTGAATGTGTTGTTCTTTTAACCAATGATCAAGCAGGTATCAGATGTCGACACAAGAATATAATGTTGTTCTCTATCAAGCAATGAAGATTGCAAGGATCAACCAAGATATTTGCTTTATGCTCAACAATTGAGTGACAAATGTCTGTTGTCATGGAAAAAGTAACCATATAAAGAATTGATTACATATACAAACAAGAATTGAAAGACATATTTGCTGAGGAAAGAGATATAGGAGTGGTTATTGATAAGCTGTCATATTGTAGATAGTCTGAAAATTATCAACAAATATTGTGGTGGTGATCAAGGACTAAAGTACTGCAGCAAAGTATGGAAACCAAATGTTATATCACAGATTGAAGCCCTTGGAAACTTCTAGAGAAGGGCCGCTAAATTGATGCTAGGCATCAGGACATGACACCAAATTTCAGCCTACTATACATGTATTATAGTGTCACTATATATATATATACAGTATTATAGTGCCACAACATATACATAGCATTATAGTGCCACTACATATATACAGTATTATAGTGCCACTACATATATATAATATTATAGTGCCATTACATATATACAGTATTATAGTGCCACTACATATACATAGTATCATAGTGCCACTAAATATATACAGTATTATAGTGCCACTACATATATACAGTATTATAGTGCCACTACATATATATAATATTATAGTGGCACTATGTATATATCTATATAGTATTATAGTGCCACTACATATATACAGTATTATAGTGCCATTACATATATACAGTATTATAGTGTCACTACATATATACAGTATTATAGTGCCATTACATATATACAGTATTATAGTGCCACTACATATATACAGTATTATAGTGCCATTACACATATACAGTATTATAGTGCCATTACATATATACAGTATTATAGTGCCACTACATATATACAGTATTATAGTGCCACTACATATATACAATATCATAGTGGCACTACATATATATAATATTATAGTGGCTCTATGTATATATCTATATAGTATTATAATGCCACTACATATACATAGTATCATAGTCACTACATATATACAGTATTATAGTGCCACTACATATACATAGTATCATAGTCACTACATATATATAGTATTATAGTGCCACAACATATACATAGCATTATAGTGCCACTACATATATACAGTATTATAGTGCCACTACATATATATAATATTATAGTGCCATTACATATATACAGTATTATAGTGCCACTACATATACATAGTATCATAGTGCCACTAAATATATACAGTATTATAGTGCCACTACATATATACAGTATTATAGTGCCACTACATATATATAATATTATAGTGGCACTTTGTATATATCTATATAGTATTATAGTGCCACTACATATATACAGTATTATAGTGCCATTACATATATACAGTATTATAGTGTCACTACATATATACAGTATTATAGTGCCATTACATATATACAGTATTATAGTGCCACTACATATATACAGTATTATAGTGCCATTACACATATACAGTATTATAGTGCCATTACATATATACAGTATTATAGTGCCACTACATATATACAGTATTATAGTGCCACTACATATATACAGTATCATAGTGGCACTACATATATACAGTATCATAGTGCCACTACATATATATAATATTATAGTGGCACTATGTATATATCTATATAGTATTATAATGCCACTACATATACATAGTATCATAGTCACTACATATATACAGTATTATAGTGCCACTACATATACATAGTATCATAGTCACTACATATATATAGTATTATAGTGCCACAACATATACATAGCATTATAGTACCACTACATATATACAGTATTATAGTGCCACTACATATACATAGTATTATAGTGCCACTACATAATATAATATTATAGTGCCACTACATATATACAGTATTATAGTGCCACTACATATATAAAGTATTATAGTGCCACTACATATATACAGTATTATAGTGCCACTACATATACATAGTATTATAGTGCCACTACATATATACAGTATCATAGTGCCACTACATATATATATTATTATAGTGCCTCTACATATATACAGTATTATAGTGCCACTACATATATACAGTATTATAGTGCCATTACACATATACAGTATTATAGTGTCACTACATATATACAGTATTATAGTGCCATTACATATATACAGTATCATAGTGCCACTACATATATTTAGTGTTATAGTGCCTCTACATATATACAGTATCATAGTTCCACTA